AACAAAGTAAGAAGTACCACTTTTTGGAATTAAAAATAAAAATTATAAGCCATATTATACACAAACTGAAACATTTTTAACTCTCTGATGATTCAAACAGAAAAATCACACTTTGAGCTACATGGCTTTCCTATTAGAGAAAAGTTTTGGTTCAGTTTTGGAGGTCTGAGCCTAAGATTGATAGGATTCTTTTGTATCTGAGTATCAAGCTTAACCCTATTGTTTTTATTACTGGAAAAAACTACCTAAAGGTAGTGTAAAACTCTATTATCAATTAAATATTTGAAATGTGCTCAATTAACTTTTAAAGAATACTCTAAAAACAATTTATATTAAACACATGTTTTAAAAAAATCTTTTTTATTTGAATTTATGAACTATTTTCAGAATTGCTTCTAAAAGAGACTGTGGGTGAAGATCATACATTGCAGAATATGTAACATCTATATCATGTTACTGCAACTCCCCCCCCCCCTCCCTAAAAAGCATAACAGGCGAAGAATCATTAAAACTTTGCACAAAAAGCTATTTTATTTCATCAATTATAATATACAACCCCCTATTAATTGTACTTATTTAAATTACAGAAATAAAGTAGAATTTTTACTGCAGACCCAGAAATTTGCAAAGTATTAAGAATATTGTGCACTTAAGCAATTAACAAAATTGTTAAAAACAGTGAAATGCTTACTTCTGGTTCAAAGTCTACAATGGAAAATATGCCAGCTAGTTCAGGTGAGAGGTCTGTTACAAGCATCAGTATTGCTGTGCCTGATATTAAAATACTATACATGAGTGGCTTGTTTTCTGTCAGACTTTCCATAAATGGGTGACCCTGTAAAGTAATAAAACAAATAAATATAATGATCATAAAACACAAATTAATAAAACACTGTACTCATAAATTTATGCAAATTTTTTTAGCAGTCAGCTACACGAAGGAGTAGAGAAATTGATGAGTGAATTGTGTGCCTTTTAATACATGAAACAGTTAAAAAAACCACAACATGCTAAAAAAAATTGGAAATGGGATTTACCCTGTAGTTGACAGCAAATGTGGATATTTGCAGAGCCATAGAGATTATGTACACTATGCTATTCAGAAGAGATGGTTTGAATTCAGCCTCTAAGTCAGCAAAGGCCTCAGCTCTGGAAAAAGACATTGACTTTTACAGTTGCTTATACAATATAATACTATATAATACAGAAACAATATAATACTATTAAGCTTTGATATCAGAAATTTAAAGGGAGACACGAAAAATTTAAAAAGTTTTGAATTTTAAGTTATAAAGTATGAAATTCAAATCATAATTGTGAAAGTCATGAACTAGCAGATGCTTACTTCAAAACAATGTATTTATTTTAAACTATTTTTTTCATTATGAATGATTCACTGCTTTCAAAATAGCGATTACAAAATAATTTTTTGTGTATTCTCTTATTTGCCCCTGAATTATAAATTTGATGTTTGCTCTCAATGTTTTATGGGCTCAGAATTAGTTGTAACCCATTGACTTTTTATTTTACTTGATTATTGGATACCCCCTACAATTAGATGATAGGATGCCTTAATCTAATGCATCTTATCCCCCTTTCTTCTTCTTTGCACTAATGTACATTCATCCTGCTTTTTCTTTCTTATGTCCCTCCTTATGTCCCTTTCTTATGTCTGCTTATGTCCCTCCGTTACCATGAGCACAAATTTTAAAATGCCTATTTAATTTAAAACTAGAACGTCTAGGACCAGGATCCTATTGTTGCCAACTTACTGGAAATAATTTAATACAATAATTATGGGTCCCGCAGTGGACTGATCGTTAAGACACGGTTCCCAGCAGATCACCGAAGTCAAGCATCACTGACTACAGTCAGTGTGCGGGTGGGTGACCACTTGGATCAGTCTGCGAAGGGACCGAGGGTGTGCGGTATTGGTCCTCGTTAAACTGTGCTACCGTAAAGTGCTCGACTTTGCGCGCAGGTCGTCGGGCTTCCGAAGCGGGGGTGTTATCCCCTCCGCAGAGGATCAAAATTGTGATGGCATGTCTTCGGATCATCCTCCGGGATGTTTCCCAGACAGTCGCCAATAGCTCATTGTGCAGCTCTAGTGCGACGTAAATTAACAACAACAACAACAAATAATTACTGTTAACAAGTAGGCGAAAAAGATATAACTTAATTTCATTTCTCGTATTAAAACTAAAAAACAAATAGTTTTCTTCTTATAATTTAAATCTATTTTGTTAAGAATGCAATGCGACATAACCACCGGATTTATTTTCCATGTAATGTTTTTAGTCAGAATTGATCGTGGTATATCAGGAATCGATAAGATAGATCGGAAATTTATTAGAGTTTTCTGCTCAAGAAAATATAATCTTGTTCTTGCGCATTTCATGTTACTATTCAGACCATGGGGCGTCGGTAGGGTCCAATTTTTTGAGGGGGACGAAATTAAATTACTCAGTCAAAATAGTTTTCTGAATTTCCCACTCAAGAAAAGAAATTATTAAATGTGCTAAATACCTGGAAAAAAGATTTTTTTATTTTTTTATTTATCTATTTCTTGTTTTCAACTCTAAGGAATTTAAATCGATGAAAATGGACGAAAATAAATTTTTCTTGTTTGTCTAAAATATTAAGGGGGACTTTTAGAGATTTCTAATTTTCGAAGGGGACTTATTGTTGAGGGGCACTTTCAGATATTTCTAATTTTTTTTTTTTTGGGGGGGGGAAGATATTTCTACCGTCCCTCCGCCAACGACGCCCATGCTCAGAAGCAATTTATCCTATAATCGTTTTGCTTTTATAGTTAAATCTCCTCAGACCTCAGCTTTAAATAATAGCAGAAAAAAGTTGTAATTTGTACTTAATTACAACTTTTATGTAATTGGTTACAACATTTATGTAATTAATTACAATATTTATGTAATTTGTACTTAATTCAACTCTAGAAATATATATAGTTTAAAAAAAAAATAAACTCATAAATGCGATAAATATATTTTTTTTAAAAAATTCAATTACTTAAACTTAATCAACTTTTTCTGTTATTTTTAATTTTTACATAAAAAAGAGATAAATATTAATTTTCAGCTTTATTTGAAAATTTTGATGGAGTTTTATAGTGCACTTCACATTTCNACTGCTCAAAAGGTTACGTAAATCGATTTTTTTATGTAATTTTTATTGTGAATAAAAACTTCGCTCATCGAGGTTATATGGAATTATATTTCTACGAGTAAAAAAAAATCTCAAAATATTACTTTTCACGTGATGAAATTATACCAAATGTTGTCCAATATGACGCCGAATCTTTAGAGATAATAGTTTATTATAACGGTTTATGGATTACTGAATTCTCTGCATTGTAGCCTAGGTTTTTTTTTTTTCTTTTAATATCACTATTTTAAACTTAGTTTATAATTGTCAAACGTTAAATTTTTTTCACAAACTTTTTAAGAAATAAGTTAAGTTTAATAAAATTTCAATTCTATGTCCTTTCTCCTTTGTGTGATTGTGTGAATGTGACCCGCCCTAAAAACGGGTGTGTAGTTGTGTGACGTGGGCGAAGCTGCTCCACAAACGTGACAACGTGCTCACAAACGTGAGTCCAGCGCCCTGCCAACCTACAAATTTGCTTTCCTTGTGTAATTGATTATAAGGAGAATTTATATAATAATTGCTATTTAAGAACAAATTGATGTAGCATTCAACTTTTTGAAAGCGAATTTTAATGCTCAAATTTAATAATATGCAAAACCTAGAATTAAAAAATTATTATGGTCTAAACATTACTGATGTAATCATATGATTGAAAATTAGAGTATAAAAAAATTTCAACTTAATACTCGAATTATGAGATAAAGTAATGTGTAATATGTTGTTATCTTCAAAAATATATTTTATCTTGCTTTCAAATATCCAATTAAGGTTTAAGAATGACTTGCTAACAATTCAATTTATATTTAAAATGTTAAAAATAAAAATAGTCATGAGCAAAGATTTCTTACCGTTTTATAGACGCCATTTAAAAGAAATATTGCATTTAAAATCATCATTAGAAAAGTAATTTAAATGATTATTTACTAAGCTTAAAAGATTAATATGTATCATATTTGTTATTTATCTATCATAATTTGATGTTCATGAAACAAGTTGTTTAGTGATTAATTTTTTTTTCTGCTTCCGTTTAGTAAAGTCTCTGTGCTCGAAAAAAAGTTTACGGTTTATTTTAAGATCTAAAACATCTCATAAAAAGAAATAAGAACAATTAGAAATAAAACATTTTTATGACTTTTCCTCTCTGAACGTTTGTTTAATGTTATTTTGCGCACGCGCTAATTTATCTTTTATTTTTTCTGTTTAGATAATTCAGCTGTCATAAGTCACGTGGTTTTTTTTTTCTTTGCTTGCGTCGATAAATTCTGATCTAAAATTTTTATTTAGTTAGAAACCTAAGCGGTGTAGCTCTTACGAGTTAAAAAATGGCTTCGAAGCCATTTACTTTAAATGTTACTGGTCGATCAAGCTCGAACGAGTGTATTGTATTTGAAATAAAGATCGATAACTTTTCATCCCTAAGAAATATGGAAGCATATGGTAGCTCAGAATTGCAATCAACCCATGATTGTAAGAGTTCGTGGAAAATTGTTCTAACAACAACCCGAAATGATTCTAATTATTACCATAGCAGCCAATCCAGTTCAATGCAAGTAGGATTAAAAAGAACTGATTTCAACGATTGGGATGTGAAAGCTTCACTGTTTTTTGAAATCCAGAATTCTTATGCAGAAGTTTATCAAAAAGAATCATTTGAGAAAATATTTCCTCGCCAAAAGCAGGATGCTTTTTATTGTAATTCTATGAAGAGGCCCAGTCATGCTAGTTCCGTTACAGGAATGAAAGGTAATAGTTTTATAATAAATGATAATAAACTTATAATTAAGGGTAGCATTTTCATTCATAATTGCTGTCCGAAAAAGAAAACCGAAAGTGACCGCGACTCTGCTATGAATTTAACCGAACTTCAAAGTAATCTCAAATATTCGTATCAAAACAATTTGTTCTCTGATGTTTTATTTAGTTTCGGAGACGATAATTTGTATGGTCATAAGACAGTACTCTCTGCCAGATCACCAGTGTTTAAGAAGATGTTCGAACAAAATATGAAAGAAAAAAATTTAAGCAATGTCACGATTACTGATATTGAGAAATCTGTTTTTGATGTTTTTCTTATTTTTCTCTACACTGGAGTAATTGAGAACAGAGAATTCGATACTGTCGTGTCATTGTATTCGACTGCTGACAAGTATGAAGTGACCACTCTTTTCAAAACTTGCAGTAACATTCTCGCATCTTATATCGCCAACAAAACTGTTTCAGTCATTTTGAAGTTGGCAGATATGCACAATGATAATTCTTTGAAAGAAAAAGCCATCCAATTTATATGTGAGAGTTTTACTCAAATTGAAAGTACTTGTGAATGGAATAATTTGTTAGATACGGATCCTCGTTTGGCTTCACATACTTTAAAGATGGTTTCATCTCATGTTGCTGCCAAAGAAAGAAGCATATCCTAGTTTGCATGTAATTGCTAAAATGTTGCATTATAACCTTGCGTGCATGCTGCAAGTTTTATAAACAGTAATTAATCTATTACATTGAGCAAATTATATATTATATGCATTTTTTAAAGATTTTTTTTTTTTAAGTTTGTACAATTTCTTTAAAATTGGAAGTTTTTCTACTCTGGAGCAATTGAGAACAGAGAATTCGACACAGTCGTGTCATTGTATTCGTCAGCTGACAAGTATGAAGTGACCACTCTTTTCATGACTTACAGTAACGTTCTCGCGTCTCATATCGCCAACTCCAACAAAACTGTTTCAGTCATTTTGAAGTTGGCAGATATGCACAATGATAATTCTTTGGAGAAAAAAAGGCCGTCATTTTTAAATATGAGAAAAAAATTGAATGTATTTGTAACTGGAATAATTTATTAGATACGAATAATCGTTTGTCTTTATATACTTACTGATTTCGTGATCTAGTTTACGTGTTAATTGTTAGAATTTTTAACTTTTGGCACGATATAACTCCCTAAAACAATAAAAATTTCAATATGATTTTAAAATAAACAATTTTAAATGCATTTTTTCGTTTTTCTGAGCTTTAA